ACCTCTCACGTCCGTCTCAGCCGGCCCCCATCTCAACCCCATCCATGGCATTGGTCCCTCATGTCCCTCCCGCCAGCTCTAGTTATCCAATCATGGTGGTTGGATCCGAAGTGTCTGTGACATCGGATCAACCCTATGCAGTGGGTGCTTCCCCCCAGGCCTCAGGCTTCCACCCAACTACCTCTCATCACCGGTCTCCCTGTCGTCCCCACCACAGTTACTCCCGAGACTACTCCTCACCGTGGCACCCTAGGAGATTCTTGTGGTAGAACAGGATTCACCTTGGCCAGGGGGAAACAGGCTTCCCCAGCGGCCCTCTATCCCCCAGGGTTATACCCAGATTAACCATGGAGCGGATGGAGCACCACCCATGTATGTTACCTTCAATCCTTCCCAAGCTGCTACCCTTGTAACCTCAGTCCCTGATCCTGAAAAACACCCTATGCCCTTTTTCCGCAGGATGGCCCAAATTCGGAAAACATATTCCGCTGCCTGGCGGGATCTTATAAGTTTGTGTGAAATAAAGGCTGGTGGCCAATCATGGAACACAGCTTTAATGACGCTCCACTCACTTCTGATACGGATTTTCGTTCTGGTGAAATTTTCTGTGAGCAGCTCCGAGCTTGGGCACAGGATAAACTAGCAGATCAGGCTACTTGTATAAATGACATTATTCAGGATAAACTTGAGACAGTTGAGAAGTACCACTCAAGATTGACTCAGACTTTCTCAGACTTAGGGTTCAGCACCTATAATAAAGCACACACCCAGATGTTATCTGCAGCCTTTGTGGCAGGCCTTAGGGAACACATTCGTAAGGGGTTGGTTTTAGCTCGCCCAGAGTACAGAATTATCCCACTGGACACCCTTCTGCTGGTAGCCAAGGGTTTAGAATCCGTTTTGCAACCCACCCAGCGAAAAACTAGCCCTCTGATGTATACCACCTCCACACCAATTGTCAGTCCTAACCAAGTTCCTCAGATACTCCCCCATCAATACAATAAAGTGACCCCAGACACTGCCTACAACAACTCCCTCTCCCCGGGACCGGACTGTCACGACAATCCGGACCTGTTTTAACTGTAATCAGCCAGGTCACTTTAGGAGAGATTGCCCACACCCCAGAGTTATCCGCCCACAGACTCCCTGGTACCAAAGTCCCCATGTCACCGGCTATGGCTTCCCCTCCACTGGTTACCTCCCTGCCCTGCCCCATCCACAGTTGCCTCAGCTTCCTCCTCCTCCTCCTCCTCCTGAGTATACCCAAGCCCGGCTCCCTGCACCAGAAGCCCGTGCATACACTTCAGCTTCTGCTGAACGGTATGACACAGATGATTTCTAAGACAGTCAGCCTCTACCCCGCCATGCTAACCGTCCATCCCATCCTCCCATGCAACCTAATAATCCTTCTCCACTTCCCGCCGGTACACGGGACCAGATCAGGCCCACCTAGATTTATTACAATAGGTAACTGGCAAGCCTGTGTCAGCAACCCCTGCCATGGCAGTGTCTGCGAGGGATGGGGGAGGGCCCTTGCCTACTGTAGTTCTCCCCGTGGAGGGTCATCCAACCACCTTTCTAGTTGACACAGGTGCAGCCCGTAGTGTCCTCAGGGAACAAGACCTGCCAGACCCCTCCTTCTTGTCTGACACCGATGTCTCCTGTGTTGGGGTGGATGGTACACCCCGCAGTAACCCCCTTACTAAACTTCTGCACGTAGGTTCACACATTCTCTCCCGGTTTGTAGTCTCCTCTACTTGCCCCATTAACCTCCTAGGTGCTGATGTTCTCTCTCGGCTCCAGGCATCTATTACCTTTACTGCTGATGGTCAGGTCGAGTTAACAACTCCTTTATCACAAAAATACACCTCTGTTCTCTGTTCACTCCCCATCTTGTTGAACTTAACTGACCATACAGGGAATGCACGGGTCCCACAAACCCCCAGTGCTCTGGATCGTATCCCCCAAGAACTTTGGTCCACCGGCCCGGATGATATTGGACGTTTGCATGTGCCCCCAGTCTTGGTCAAGCTCCTGCCTGGAGCACTGCCTCCCCGTAGGCCACAGTATCCTCTGAAGCCAGCACAAGCCGAAGCCATCACCAAACAAGTTGAAAGTCTACTTGCCAAAGGTGCTCTCATCAAGTGCACATCTCCATGTAACACACCGCTATTCCCTGTTAAAAAGAGAACTATTAAAGGCCAACCCGACCAGTACCGAATGGTGCAGGATCTCCGCGCTGTTAATGAAGTAACAGTAAAAGACACTGCTATTGTTCCAAACCCACACACTCTCTTGTCTCAGGTTCCACCAACTGCCACAATCTTCACTGTAGTGGATCTAGCTAATGCCTTTTTCAGTGTGCCCCTTGACCCTTCCTGCTGTTTTCTCTTCGCCTTCACCCATGAAGGACAACAATATTCCTGGACTGTCATGCCTCAGGGGGCCCAGAATTCCCCCACACAGTTTGCTCACGCCATGTCTCTGGTTCTGGAGCCCTGGCAGAAATCTCACTGTTGTCCTGCTCCAATATGTTGATGATCTCCTCCTCTGTGCTCCTGATTCACTCATTGCTGAGCGTGACTCAGAGGATCTCCTATGTTTTCTCGCTGCAGCTGGTTGCAAAGCTTCCAAATCTAAGCTACAATGGTGCCGGCCCTCTGTGGTCTTCTTGGGACATTGTCTTTCCCATGGCACCAGACATCTAACTTCTCAACGCGTACAAGCTATTTTGCAACTCCCTTTACCTGCGACACATCAGACTCTTCATGCCTTTTTGGGTCTTATCACATACTACAGGTCCTGGATACCCGAAGCATCAAAGCTCATGCAGCCACTCTATGATGCCCTCAGGAGTGAGCCCTTTCACCTTACTGAAGACACTATCACCTGTTTCCACAATCTGAAAAGAGCTATTGCTTCTGCACCTGACTTGGGCCTACCCAACTACCAGCTTCCTTTCAATCTGTTTGTCTCTGAAAAGTCAGGACATGCTTCCGGAGTCCTTACCCAGAAACATGGTTCAAGACAATGGCCTATTGGCTATTTTTCCTGCATGCTTGACCCTGTTGCGAGGGGTAGTCCCTCCTGCCTCAGAGCGGTGTTTGCCGCCAGCGCCCTCCTGGACAAGACTAATGATTTTGTTCTTGGCCACCACCTCACGGTGTTGGCCCCTCATGACATTACTGCAATCCTGCAACAAGTTCAACCTAAGCACCTTTCCTCCCAAAGTCACCTCCGTCTACAAACCTCTTTACTTTTACCTGACAATGTGAAACTTCAGAGATGTCTTTCCCTGAACCCAGCCACTATTCTGCCACTTCCCAAGGGGGGAGTTGTACATTACTGGTATAGCCTGGACATCAACCCAGAGGTTCGAGCAGATTTGCAGCTGCCTGCACTTGCACCCCCACATGATGAACAATCAGAGGTCCTACTTCACTGCACCTTATGGTTTAAGGACGTACCAGGCCCTGATATGAAATATGAGGAAGAATTATTCCAGCTCAAGGAAATTCAAATTACCCTGACTGACTTATTCTGGGACCCCACAGGTACCATGCTCATCTTAGTCCATCTTCCAGAGAGTGTGACACATCTCTATCATCATTGGGAAACAGCTATCCCACACATATCTCTCACCAGATCCCCCGACACCTCATGGAAAGACCTAGGCCCGATGGCCAAGACCTGGAGTCAAATGAGCCAAGAACAACTGACTTCTACGGGGATCAACAAAAAGACTATTAATTACTGTACAGCAGGGTACCCAAGGTACCACACAGAAGCCTGTGAAGACCCACTCATCACAGACTGTGACCTAGATATTCCTCATGATTGTTTTGAACAAATGAAAATGGAAACTACACACCTACCAACTGTCTATGAAGCTGCATTACTCAACCCGGACCAAACACTATTTGTGGATGGGTCAAGATTTGCTGATGAACAGGGACAATATCACACTGGGTATGCAGTCACTACAGGATGTCAAGTATTACAAGCAGCTCCCCTACAACCAACTAAGTCTGCTCAAGAAGCCGAGCTAACAGCCCTGACTGTGGCCTGCAAATTGTCTGAAGGTCTACGTGTCAATATTTACACAGATTCAAGATATGCCCTAGGGAGTAGCACATGACTTTGGCCTAATTTGGAAGACCAGAGGATTTCTTACGGCTACCGGTACCCCAGTAAAACATGGGGCAGCCATTGCAGAACTGATGGATGCTTTGGAACTTCCAGCAGAGGTGGCAGTACTAAAAGTAAAAGCCCACGGAAGACTAGACACAGAAGAAGCACGTGGCAACCACTTAGCTGATCAGGCAGCTAAGGAAGCAGCACGGCAAGGATGGGAAGTGGGCAGAAGAGTGGCCACAGATACAGTACCCATCTACACTATGCAAACATTGCCTACAGATCTTAGGCTTTTGAAGGAACAACAAGCTGCCGCTACTCCCCAGGAGAAGCAAAGTTGGAAGAACAAAGGAGCTGTGCTTCGTGATGATGTTTACACCATCAATCTCAAGTTTTGCTTACCTAGAAGTATGTACTCAGCGGTGGTCCAATGGGCCCATGGGCCAGCCCACCTGTCAAAACACCTGATGAACTCATTGATTGACAAGTATTTTGAAGCACCAGGTATCACTACCTTAAAACAGAATTACTGTAAATCTTGTACTATATGTGCTAAGTGCAATCCTGGAAAGATCATAAAGACCGCACCTAATCACCTGGCCAAGCCACAATACCCCTTCCAGAGGATCCAGATTGATCACATTCAGATGCCAAAGAGTGGACGTTATGAATATGCATTGGTCATAGTGGACATGTTTTCAGGATGGCCAGAGGCCTTCCCAGTGACTAATCTCACCGCGAGGACTACAGCCAAGTATCTTTTGACAGAAATTGTTTGCCGATATGGAGTTCCAGAAGTGATTGAAAGTGACCAAGGGACCTCCTTCACCGCCTCGCTAACACGGGAAGTCTGGTCAGCACTGGGGGTGACCCTTGCATTCCACACACCATATCACCCACAGAGTAGTGGTAAAGTAGAGCGCATGAATGGCACTTTGAAAGCCAGAATGCTTAAAATGTCACAAGAAACTAACATGCCCTGGCCCGAGAGTCTCCCACTAGCGTTGTTTAGTGTAAGGTACACTCCCAGAGGAAAATATAGCCTATCACCTTATGAGATTTTGTTTGGTACAGCACCCAGGTTAGGTTGTTACTTCCCCCAGCAGCTTCAGATTCAGTCAGATGCTATGGTAGACTATGTGACTGCCCTCTCACATGCCTTGACCAAGATACATGCCCAAGTGTTTTCTTCTATTCCAGATCCTGAGTCGAATACAGGTACACACAAGCTGCTTCCTGGTGATTGGGTTATGGTCAAGAAGTTTCTCAGGAAACACACCCTAGAACCAAGATTTGATGGTCCTTATCAAGTGCTCCTGATTACAGCAACGTCAGTTAAACTAGCCGGGAAGAGTTCTTGGATACACGCCTCACATTGCAAAAAAGTGCCTGCTCCAGAAGAGGCTAATCCTGCTGAAATATGAATTTATTATGTGTCTTGTGTTTTCTTATGCTGCTACACTTTGCCTGGGCCCAACAAGGGGCCATAACCAAAGATAATCATGTTTACACTTTCTGGTACAATTCTTCTAATACTGATGTAGCTACATACACCTTTGATTACTGTGACATAGTTACTTGCACATTTCCACAAACACAATATGCAGCCATATACAAAGACATACCTAACAAAAAGGATCCATACATTTGTGTGACTGGAGGAGTTTGGGGTAGTGATGTACCGAACGGTTCGCCGGCGAACAGTTCCCGGCGAACATAGCATGTTCGCGTTCGCCACGGCGGGCGAACATATGCGCGGTTCAACCCGCCCCCTATTTGTCATCACTGAGTAAACTTTGACCCTGTACCTCACAGTCAGCAGACACATTCCAGCCAATTAGCAGCACACCCTCCCTAGCAGACCCTCCCACCTCCTGGAAGGCATCCATTTTAGATTCATTCTCAAGCTGCATGCTTAGTAAGAGGAGGGAAAGTGTAGCTGCTGTTCATAAGATAGGGAAAAGCATAGCTAGGTTAGGGATAAGGGTATGCTTTTTTTTAATTTATTTTTTCTATGTAATGTAATTGCACTTAGTTGTCTGCCACTGCTGCCAGCTTCTGTGTCAGGCTCACAGTGCATACTGTGCCCATTTCCCCAGTCAGTGCCACCACTTAGATCTAGTGACACAAAGCTTGGATTTAAAAAAACAAAACACTTTTTTCACTGTTATAGATTGAATAGCAGTCAGTGTCCTTAAAGCGGGTGTGTTACGCTAACAGTGGATACGCTGACCAGTGCCACCAATTAGATCTGGTGACACAAAGCTTGGTTTAAAAAAAAAATAATCTTTTTTCACTGTTATAGATTGAATAGCAGTCAGTGTCCTTAAAGCGGGTGTGTTACGCTAACAGTGGATACGGTGACCAGTGCCACCACTTAGATCTGGTGACACAAAAGCTTGGATTTAAAAACAAAAAACTTTTTTCACTGTTATAGATTGAATAGCAGTCAGTGTCCTTAAAGCGGGTGTGTTACGCTAACAGTGGATACGGTGACCAGTGCCACCACTTAGATCTGGTGACACAAAGCTTGTATTTAAAAAAAAACAAACACTTTTTTCACTGTTATAGATTCAATAGCAGTCAGTGTCATTAAAGCGGGTGTGTCACGCTAACAGTGGATACGGTGACCATTGCCACCACTTAGATCTGGTGACACAAAGCTTGTATTTAAAAAAAACAAAACACTTTTTTCACTGTTATAGATTGAATAGCAGTCAGTGTCCTTAAAGCGGGTGTGTTACGCTAACAGTGGATACGGTGACCAGTGCCACCACTCACTGGTGTCATAATAGCTTGCATTTAAAAACAAAAAACTTTTTTCACTGTTATAGATTGAATAGCGGTCAGTGTCCTTAAAGCGGGTGTGTTACGCTAACAGTGGATACGGTGACCAGTGCCACCACTTAGATCTGGTGACTCAAAGCTTGTATTTAAAAACAAAAAACACTTTTTTCACTGTTATAGATTGAATAGCAGTCAGTGTCCTAAAAGCGGGTGTGTTATGCTAACAGTGGATACGGTGACCATTGCCACCACTTAGATCTGGTGACACAAAGCTTGTATTTAAAAAAAAACAAAACCACTTTTTTCACTATTATAGATTGAATAGCAGTCAGTGTCCTTAAAGCGGGTGTGTTACGCTAACAGTGGATACGGTGACCAGTGCCACCACTTAGATCTGGTGACACAAAGCTTGTATTTAAAAACAAAAAACACTTTTTTACTGTTATAGATTGAATAGCAGTC